GAGAGAGAGAGAGAGAGAGAGAGAGAGAGAGAGAGAGAGAGAGAGAGAGAGGTCCAATAAATGACTGACAGGAGAATGTCAGGGAGTGAAAAGTCCTATAGGAAAATGAAGATGAAAAGGGGCAGAGGGTGGAGGGGGTGTGTGAGTGCAATTTCAAGTAGGATGGTGTGGGGGTGCCTCACAGAGAAGGCGACACTTGAGCAAAGGCCTGATGCAGGCAAGGAGACCAGCTTTGCAGAAATCATGGGAAGAGACCTCTAACAGCATGTGCAAAGGCCCTGGGGCAGGAACAGGAACAGCAAAGAGAGGAGTATGGCTGGGGCAGAGAGTGTAAAGGGGAGAGGGGCTGGAGGTGAGGTCAGAGGGAGGCAGCAGGTCAAGCTCCGTCTTGTGTCCATGGTGAGGACTTTGGCCTCGACTCTGAGGGACCTAAGCTGACTGATTTTCACAGGATCTTTCTGGCTGCTGAATGGGGAACAGACTGTGGGGGTGGGAGCGGAAGCGGGACACAGTCGGATGCTGCCATATTGTAATGAAACTGGACATAAGTAGAAAGTGACGGGGAAAATGAAGGAAGGCCAAACAATGGGTTAAATCTGTGGCTCGGTAGGGTTGTTAGTTTTCTCTTGGGAAAAGGTAGCGAGTGTTAGAAGGGCGTTAGAGTCTGACTAGAACCAGAGTGAGATATTCTCTTGCCATAGTCAGAATGCTACAAAGAGAACAGGAAAAGGAATTTCTCTTTAGAAATATTTCAGACGTACAGAAAAGTTGCAAAAATGGCACAAAGAACATCTGTGTAATTTTTACTCATATCAAACAATTGTTTTTATTCCCTTTGCTTCAGTGTCTGCTCTCTCTCTCCTTCTGTTTCTCCCATGCATATTTTGTTTTCCTGAACCATCTGAGGGTAAGGTGCATGCATCACGGCCCTTCATTTGTAAACATTTCCATCTATTGAAATATTTTCACTTTGCGTTTTTTTGGTTTATTTTTATTTTTTTATTTTTAATACTACAGCCCAGAATCCTACATCAAGTTGCCTCTGGCCCTGCCAGCACTTTGAGGATCTGTGAGATTCTCTGAGAATCACTGGCAGTAGCAGAAGGAAAGCCGGCCAGCGGGTCTGGACGAGTGGATTCCAGTTTTGGTTCTGGAGCTTACAAGTCACTCAGGTGTGGGTTCCCAGCTCAGGGACCTGCTGCCACTCACAGGCCAGTTCTAAGCCATTTGGCAAATGATTTCATGTCTCTAAGCCTTAGTTGTCTCCAGAGACCACGGCAAACTACCCACCGAGGGCCAAATCTGCCCCATCGTTTTGGGGGACGGGCATGAAAAAGATGTGACCCCTGATTGACCCGTGAGCCGGACATGGGCACTCGGAAGCTTCTCACCCCCTCCCCTGTCCCTGGAGTGTGGGTTCTACCTGCCTTTTCCGCTCCCAGAGGCTGTTCCAAGGACATGGCCTTGAGATGGTGTATGATGCTGAGGACATCTGCATGATGTGCCTGGCTGAGCCCAGTTGGGGCTTCTTTATAAACTTGTAAGATTTGGAGGGTCGGTGTGGGGATCCATTCATCTTGCTGCCCCTGGAGACAAGCCTCGTATATAAGTTCCCTTTGCTTATTGAAACTGCCACATGCCAACCTGGAGGGGCCTGCCTCTTTCCTTGGTCTCTCCCTCCCCTCTGTGTTTGGGGGCTGGTTTCAGACTACACCTGGGAAGCCCCCAGGAGGGTTATGGACCAGCATTGCCTCTTTTCATGCCACCTGCAAGCTAAGAAGGAGGGCTAACAGGGATGGCTTAGGTGCTTCCAATACCCTTGTTACAACTGTGGCAGACATGATTAATCAATCACAGCATCCGTACCCACTGCACTTAGACACCACCTCCAACTCCTTGGCAGACGTGATCAATAAATCACAGCAACCATTCCCACTGCACTCAGACACCACCTCCAACTCCTGTGGCAGACATGATTAATCAATCACAGCATCCGTTCCCACTGCACTCAGACACCACCTCCAATTCCCTTTCCACCAAGCTCTCTAGGGCACACAGTAGGAAGTGAAAGCTGTTCTCCACCCCTAAATGGGAGCGTGTTGGGAGAAAGAGATCAAGAGACCACAGCACCTAAGGGAGAGAATAGGAAGAGGAATTTCTCTTTGGAAATATTTCAAACTTATAGAAAAGTTGCAAAACTGAAGGAGGAGGTGGAGGAGAAAAGGTTGCTGCCTTCATTTCCCAGGGATTAGGGACAGCAGAAAACTACATATTTGCAAGCAGCTCAGAACCAAAATCAGGAGACAAAGTTCTGAAGAGGCTGATCTCATGAGGAAGGAATTTTCCACGAATAGACTGTTTCCTGGAAAAATAGGCCCCTGCCTCTCCCCCCCATACAGAAGTAGGCACCATCTGATGCCTTTGCCTGCCCACCATCCACTCCGCTTCTTTGGCAATAGGGTCTGTTCCCCGCCCCCCCCCGCCTTTGGGTCTGGGGGTGGGGTGGGCGGGGAACCCTCCCCACCCTGAATCCATTTAGTCATGTGGAGCTGGGTTGTTCTCTGACTCCAGAGCTGTGCAAATAGCCCAGGTTTGGCCAATCAGGATATTCCAGCACCTGGCCATAGCGGTTGGTCCATGTAAGGACATGTGATTTGAGTTAAGCCAGTGAGAAGCAGCCCTGGGGTTTTTGTCGGAGGTGTCAGGAGCCAGGTGTGGTCTTCCCTCTGTGGCTGCTGAGCTGGTGGGATATAAGCCTGGAGCCCCTAGGAGCTATCATCACACCACAAGGGGAGGTCCTGACTGAGAATGAAGCCACCACAGAGAAAAGCAGAGTTGAGAGGTGTATGGAGGAGTCTCTTGACAAAATCAAGTCCCTGGATCCAGCCATACCTGAAGCTCATGCAGGACCAAAAAATTTTCTAATTTTTTGTAAGCCCGTTCAAAGATAGGGTTTCTGTCTCTTGTAGTGCAGAATTCTGTCTAATACAGGATAGAAAGGTCGTTTTCACCTCAAGAGTTCCAAGATTTGATGAGATTGTGTATGAGTCCGATGACATGAATCATGGAAGAATCAATCAGTGGGACCTAAGGGGTGGGGAAGAAGAAAGAGGGAAGGAGAGAGAGGCCTGGGGCGCCTGTACCTGTGGCTCTGGCCCCTCCAGCCTCTTGTTGACAGGAGATGGGCAATGCACCCGACGAAGAGGGACCCAGCAGGAAGGAACCCGATTATGATGGCAGCCATGATCCCAGCACTCAGCGGCAGGTGTGTAATGGGCAGCTCCTTCAGCTTTTCTGAGGGGTATGAGAGAGAAAGAGAGGTCTGTGAGATGTCCTGGAAGGATCTCCCCACTCCTCTCACCCCTGCATCAGTGACTGTCCATAGAGCACTGATGTGCAGTTTCCTTTCCCCCACCCAGAGCTTTCTCCTGCTTTTCAGAGCTGAGTATCCAACTGTCCAGTTGATTCTGCTGCACATAAAACTCAATATCCCTGGATGGAACTCCTCGGCTCACCCCACCTCAAAATCTGCTTTCCTAAGATTTCCTACCATCTTCAGCACATCTAAAACATACCTCCTGACCCACTCCCCCACCACACTCCACCTGCCTGCTTTTTCTCGCCTCAGTTGATTGACACCTCCATCCTTTAAGGGAAAGAATGCAGTTCTGGGCCCTGTTTTGTGCGGGACATAGGGTCTTGATGCATGGGGTTCTGAAACACTACCTGTCAGGTTTGGGATGAAGCCTACCTGACTTCCTACCCCCACCATGAGGACCTCCAGCCTTTAATATCAAGCTGAACACCTGTTATATCCCAGCCCTTCTTGGCAGGTAAGCTCATAGACTCTGAGGTCAGAATGCTGGGGGTTCAAGTCTTTGAGCAGATTACTCAACCTCTCTGTGCCTCTTCCCGTTTGTGAAATGGGGACAATAAGAGTATCTACCTTGTAGGGTTGTTGTGAAGATTGAATGAGTTTATACACACACACACACACACACACACACACACACACAGTTCTTTCAATTATCCAACAAAGTAGGATCTGTGCCATTTTAAGGTGGGTAAACTGAGGCACAGAGAGGTGAGCTAACCTGCCCAAGGGCTCACAGAAGGTGCAGTGCTGGGATTATACTTGGGCCACCTGAGCTCCAAATGATTGCTCTGTGTGGCTTCCAAAAGAGGGGCCTGTGTCTCAGGAGCCCTTCAAGGATGGGAAGGAACTGTATCAGGCTCTGCATGACTGGAGTGAAGACCATTATTTCCAAATGGACTGGAGTGTCACCATATATACGTATGTATACATATATATATTTGTGTGTGTGTGTAAATCAATCAATATTTGCTTATTTCATTCATTTCCCTAAAAGTTTATCTGTTCAAAGTGCCCAAAACCCATTTTATTTATTTATTTTCAAAGATTTTATTTATTTATTTGACAGAGAGACAGCGAGAGAGGGAACACAAGCAGGGGGAGTGGGAGAGGGAGAAGCAGGCTTCCTGCAGAGAAGGGAGCCCGATGTGGGGCTCGATCCCAGGACCCTGGGATCATGACCTGGGCCGAAGGCAGACGGTTAACGACTGAGCCATCCAGGCACATCCTGAAACCCATTTTAAAATGTATTCTTCTCACTGGGGGGAAGAGGATAGGCCATGCCTGGGCATATGTGGTCGTTGCCCCCACAGCCTGGGGAGGTGGCTAAGTCAGGCCCATTTTGCAGATGTGCGCACCAAGGCCCAGAGGGGTTGCACATGGGCAGAGGACGGAAGGCAGCTCCTCTTCCAGACACTGGAAATTAACAATTTTGCACCTTCTATCTTTTAATTATTTATTTATTTTTAAGTCGGCTTCGCACCCAACATGGGGCTTGAACTCAAGACCGGGAGATCAAGAGTCACATGCTTTACCGACTGAGCCCGCCAGGTGCCCCCATCTTCTACCTTTTTGAATCCCCACAACAGCACAGGAAATTCAGTGGCTTCTGTGAGTGACTCAGGAGGTGGGGTGGGGCCGAGGCCAGGTCAGCTGACTCAAGGATCCCCCCGCCCCCACTTCCTGTCCTTCCCACCCCGACCCTGTTGCCCTGTCTTCTTACAGCATCCAGAGCCCCTTCTCCTGGATCTGCTCACTCTGGCCCCTGCTGCCCCATCCACCCATGCAGTTCCGTCACCCACAGCTCTCTTCCTCACTCTCTGGGCTGCCCAGCCTTTGCCCATGCTGTTCCCTCTGCCTGGCATGCTCTTCTCCACACACTACATATAACTCCTGCTCACTTTTTCATTCCCAGCTCCCTCTGGGAGGGAAGCCTTCTCTGACAATCCCAGGCCAAGGAGGTGCCTGATAGGCATTTCCTTCATAGCTTACCTGCTTAATTATGCAATTAGTTGATTCATCTTGGTAGACGGGACATGAAAGAACACTTCAGGGGCGCCTGGGTGGCTCTGTGGGTTAAGCATTGACTCTTGATTTTGACTCAGGTCACTATCTCAGGCTCATGAGATCGAGCCCTGCGCTAGGCTCCCCGCTCAGCAGGGGGTCTGCTTGATAGTCTCTCTCTCTCCCTTTGCCCCTCCCCGTGCTTGGGGGTTAAATAAATAAATCTTAAAAATAAATAAATCTTTAAAAAAAAGAGCACTCAGTCACTTCCATTCTGACCTCCGTCCGTACTTGCTAATTATTAAGTTCTTCTTTCCAGCTTGTCTCTTAACTCATGGAAAAGATGCTGTGTGCAAGGCATCCCGTGATGGGAGCCGAAACTACCCCCTCGAGCAGCAAGACCCCTCCCGACTGACCCCAAGACAATGACTGACCTGACGACCTTTACTGCCCGTCTGCATGTATCCACTGACCTGTGTCCCACATTTTCCTAATATAAACCTAGAAGTACTTTCAGCACTTTGGAGGCAGTCTTTGGGATGCTAGTCCGCTGTCTTCCCAGGGTTGGCTTCACTTCAATCCCTTTCTTGTTTCACCACCCCTCCTCTCTCTGCCTTTGGATTTTGTCTGCAAAATGGCCAAACCTGGTCTGTTTGGGATCCCAGGAGCCAGGTGCTTCTGCACCCCTGTGCCTCAGCTACAGACATGTAGGTGTCTCCTCAGCTCCTTCCATCCCTCCACCATTGTGAAGCCTCCAGACTTTCAGGAGGGATGGATCCCGCCTTCAGCTCCGGGGTGAGCTCCCTTAGCTTATTCCCTTGTCACACTGACTGCATCAGGAAGGGCCGCCTTTCAGACCTAAGCCAATCAGCGTGCTGCATTCCTTTGGCCTTCCTGATTTGTTCAGGTTGGTCCAATCAGAGTGAAGTGAAGGGGTGTGGTTCAAAGCGCGTAGGAGAAGGGATCTCTTGTTCTGGAAGCTGGAAGCTAGAGGCTTGGGAACCATGCCGTCCATCTTGCTACTTTGAAGGCATTAATCATGTCCCCCTGAACTTGAGCTGGGCAGAAATAAAGACATTTCCCAGCCTCCTTTGCAGCCTTCTAGCTCGTTCAAAGGTGCCTTTAGAGCATGGTGTTGAACATCGCTGCTAACATTGGAACCCCAGGCAAGTTTACATACAACATTCTGTGTCTGAATTTCCCCATTTTATAAGGATACCAGTCATATTGGATGAGAGTTGAGCCTAGTGATCTCATTTTAACCTGATTTCCTCTATAAAGATGCTATTTCTAAGTAAGGTTATATTCTGATGTACTGAGGGTTCGGACTCAGTGTCTTTTTTTGAGGGGACAACATTCAACACACAACACCGCCCAAGCTTGGTTCCCTGCTATCCTGGAGAATCTCTGGGCTGTTCAGGATCCTTGAATCAATTTCTTTTCTGCTTAAATCAGCGAGAAGCAGTTTCTGTTGCTGTAGCAAGAACCCTGCCTGAATCACATGATTAAGTGTCCTCTTTTTAGAGCCTGTTATATTTTCTGCCTTTTATCATAGACAGTGAACTTGAAAAGAGGGAGCCTGTGAATCACTGTCTTTTTCAAAGTTGATTGCGACAGGATCTCTTCTGTGATATGATCTTGCCATTCTCTTATCTAGTAGAAGGATCTAATTACCCCTCCCTTGAATTTTGGCTAATCCTAGTGGCTTAGTTGTAATCAAAAGAATACAATGTAAGTGATGCTCTGTGACTTCCAAGGCTAGGTCAGAAGAAGCCATGGAGTTTCTACCTTGGTCTTTTGGAACACGTGCTCTCTACTTGGCCCTCCCCAAGAATCCAGTCTCCATGTTGTGAGGAAGCCCAAGCAGTCACATTGGCAAGAGCACCTGACAAAGATCTGGTGGATAGCCCCAGCTAAGTTTCCAGCTGACAGCCAGGGCAAGCCTCCACATATCTGAGTGAAGACACCTCTGAATGATTCCAGCCTCCAGCATTTGAGCCAGTCTCAGCCTTTTGAGTCTTCTCATCTGAAGCCCCAGACATCATGAAGTAGACAAGCCATCTGTCTTGTGCCCTGTCTGAATTCCTGATCCCAGAAATCATGAACATAATAAAATGGTTGCTGGTCTATACCACTGAATTTGTTCTACACCAAGAAGTAACTAGAACAGAGCCCCATATTCTGTTTCTTCTTTCAGGACTGAAAGTTTTCTTTTTGGCTTTTCTCTTTACTGGGCACTGGGATCATCTATCCTCAGTTCTACCAACAAAGAATCATCTGGGTCTTCTTCTGTGGGTCAGATTTATCCATGTGTATTTTTGAGTAGATACAAGCACATCTGAAAAAGTGCTTTGAGAGACCATTATAAAAGTGGACAATGGTCAGACTGTATATAAAAATAGAATTCCAATCCACAACCTGCAGTGAAGACCAACCTGCCTAGAAGACCAACCCTCTTACAAACAGCCCATGACGCCAACCTGCTTTGAGTCAGACTTGCAGGAAGCCAGATTGCTATCTCCAGTGACAATCCAGGAAGACAAACGGTAACTTCTGTAAGGACTGACCCTAAATGGCCAGGACTTGATTAATAACCAACAGCTTCCCTGATTCTTGTCCCTGCTTCTAACTTAGGACCAGCTCCTAAGAAAGCCAAACATGCACCCTAACCAGTCGCCTCCAGCTTCCCTGTGCCGACAACCTCCAATCAGGGCACAGCTGAAGCCTTCTCTTTTTTCCACTCTGAAGCTTTCCCATCCTTCTGCCTGCCTTTGAATCTCTGCCCAGATGCAAGTGACAGGGGCTGACTCCCTTACTCCAGGAACCTCTGAGTAAATGGCCTTTGCTTTTCTCATTGGCTGGACGTGGTTGATTTCCACAGCTTCACATGGATTTGCCAGCCAGTCCTCACAACGATCCATGGTGGGAGGTATGATTGCCCCCATCTTACAGATATTTGGGGGGAACAGAGGCTCTGAAAGGTTTGGCCATTTGACTAAAGGTCACATAAACCCATGATACCAGCCAGTTAGTGGTTGTTAATGATGAGGCAGAATAAAGTCCTAAAAGTGTGGGCTCTGGAGCCCACAGGCCAGAGTTCAAGTCCTGCACCTGTTGCCCCTTAGCTGAGTGACCTGGGCCAGTTACTTAAACTCCCTGTGCCTCAGTTTCTCCAACTGTGTAACAGGGATCATCTTGCCATGGCAGGGAGGACACAAAGGAGAAATGTGTGTGAAGCACTCTGCACATATTCAGTAAAGGGGTGCTGGGCTTGTAATTAACTGCCTTGGGTGTCAGAGGGCCCAGAAGGCTTTGGGGAACCCACACAGGGTTGCTTGAAGGCCCCCAAGTCTCCACCACTGGATTTACAGGAGAACAGACACCAGCTGTCAATGACCGTGATCCCGCTCTGGCTTCCAAGCCTGGTTTGGGCTGCTTACTGGCTGTGGGACCTCTCTGAGCCTCTGTTTCCTCATCGGTACACAGGGGACCTATGTGTCCTGGGCCTTTCTTGTGTTTTCTGCCCTGAGCTGTGAATCCTTCCCTTTGGGAGTTCTGCCAGAGACTGGCTTTCTTAGCTTCTTTTTCCATGGGGCAGTGTCATGTGACCCAGGTCCCCAGTCAGGGACATGCCTACCAACAGATAAACTCCATGAGGGAGGGCAGAGATCTCTGTCTGTTCCTTCTGTACACTCAGTGCCTGGCACACAGGAGTGCTCAATAGATGTTTGTTGAATGAATGCAGCTTCCCAGTGCCCAAGCAGGTGTTCTGGACCCAGGGCTGACACTTGGGCAATGCTGGCTTTGGCAGGAGAATTCTGCAAGTAGTTTGCATCTTGTTTCTGGTTCCCAGCCTCCTTGGGGTCCCGCGAGCCTGTGATACCCTTCATTAAAGCCCTTTTCTGTACATGCCTGCTGGGGCTGGCTTCTGTTGCAGCCACTAAAGGCATGCCAAATCCCTTCATGATTGAGACAGGTAAAGCGTGGGAATTACTCGGGACACAGGAAGAGCTCCCAGCCAAGTCCATCCCCACCCCCTTGCCTCCCCACCGCCAGGGGCTGGATTTGGGGCCAAAGCTGTCCTCAAATAGAAATGCCCTGGCTGCTGAGGTGACCCAACCTGACATGAGGACGTGCCCAACCCTATGCCTCATCCCCTCCGCCTTTTCCTTTGCTCTTCCTTTTGCTGAATCATTTTGCTTCCCTGCTCCCTGTGTTCAGCCTTTGGGAAGCCAAGGCATTTCCCATGAGGGAGTGGATTCCACTGGGGCTGGGAAAAAGCCAGGTGGCAGAGGGCCAGGGACATGGACTCAGACCCAGCGGGGGCCTCGGTTCCTGCCTTCCCCAGCTGCGTGGTGGTGGGCCCTCTGGGTCTCTGTTTGTTTGCCCCTCTCTAAAATGGGGATCATCCTAGGGCCTGATGGGGGTCTTGTGGGAATGCAATGAAGTGAGGTCAGCAAAGTGCTTGGCTTGGAGGTGCCTGGCATACAGTAAGTGCTCACAGATGGGAGAAGGAATTACAAGTATTTATGGAGTACCTAATGTGTGCTAAGCACTGCTCTGCACTGGGGGTTCAGTGGTGAACAAAACCATAATAGATATATATGTTATGATTATTATGAGGAGAGCAGGTGTTGAGTCCTTGCTCATCTTCCCTGCCCTGATCCCCGGCATATGGCTCCCCATCTTGTTTGACCTATGTGATCCCACCCCCTTGGACAAGGGGTGGACCCTTCACTCAAGGCGAAGGAAACCACAGGCCAGGTTGGACTAACCAGATTATTATTATTATTATTATTAAAGATTTTATTTATTCATTTACTTGAGAGAGAGCACGAGCACGGGGCGGGGGGCAGGGAGCAGAGAGAGAGGGACAAGTAGACTCCCCGCCGAGCCTGGAGCCCTATGCAGGGGGCTCAATCCCACAACCCCGAGATTATGACCTGAGCTGAAACCAAGAGTCGAACGCTCAACTGACTGAGCCACTTTGGCGCCCCAGACCAACGAGATTCTATCTTGGTCTGTCTGTCTGTCTCTCCAGCTGTCTTTCTTTCTGTCTCTGCATTTTGGAAGAGGAGATTCAGAATATGCAAAGAAGCCTGGGCTGACACCCAGTTCAGGCCTGGCAGGAATCCCTGGTCATGAAGAGGAGAATGGAGTCGGAGAGCCGAGATGAGGCCAGAGGTGGCGCCCTCTGGAGGAGGAGGGGGCACTTGCCTTTCTGACAACTATTTCCCATCAGCTCTGAAGGGCTCCCCACCCATTCATTTATGCAACAGTGTGTCTGTCCCTATTCTAGGCTTGGAGGAGACAGCTGTGAACCCAGGGCTCCTGGAGCCAACATCCCAGGGGCTACCCTGGGGTCCTACAAGGCTCCCTACATTGTGAGTCAGTTGCCGAGAGCTTCTGTCCTTACAACCTGAGCCTTGGCTTGAATACATCCTGCTGCTCTGGCCTCTGAGGATGCCCCTCCTGTTCTTTTGCCTCAGTCATGCTGGCCTCCTGCTAGCTCAGTTCATGAGCCCTACAGCTTCCTGCCACAGGCCCTTTGCACAGTCCTCTGCCCAAACACCTCCCAAAGCTCCTTTCCCCCTCCTTAGGACTGCCAGTCATCATTCAAGCTTTGTTGAAGGATCACCTTCCCACGGCAACCTCCCTTATGCCCCCCAATTTACACTCTCATCATCCCCGTATGTGCCTTTCCTTCATGGTCCCTGCACTGTGCATAATGATCTATTTTGTGTATGTGATTATTAGTTAATATCAGTCTCCCCCGCTGGGCTGTGAGCCCTGGAAGGGCAGGGCCAGGGCAGCCTCAGTCTGCACTGTGTCCCCAGCACTGCCCAGTACAGTCTGGACGCAGAGGCAGCCTTGAGAAAGAGGCACTGGGGGAAGCTTTGCTGAAGGAACAAGTGAATGAGCAGCTCAGCGTCTGCAGAGGCAGCTCTGTGTCTCATTCAGGCAGCCCTGCATTCGAATCCCAATGCTGTTGCTGATTGGATGGCTGGATGCCCAATATTCGGGGCATGCCTTAAACCACCCGAGCCTCAGCTTCTTTCTGGATAGAATGGAAATTCAGCCCACACTTAACCATGGCTGGGTTAAACTGTGAATCAGATCACTCTTCTGTTTAAAACCCTCTAGTGGCTTCTTTCAAGCTCCCCACAGCCAACAAGCCCGGCCCCTGTGTGCCTCTCAGACCTCAACGCCTAACACCCAACTTGCTCTCTGCTTTATAGCCATGGCATCCTTCTGTCTATATGCCTTGAACACACTAAGCTAGTCTTACCTCAGGGCCTTTGCACTTGCGGTTCCCTCTGCTAGGAACTCTGTCTCTTAGAAATCTTCCGGGCTCCCTTCCTTTCCTCTGTTCAAATGTCACTCCTTCTTGATGACCTCCCATCCCATATCACATCATCCTGTTTAATTTTTTTTAACTGGGGAAATTATAAACTCTCTGTGCCTCAGTTTCCTCATCTGTAAAATGAGTCCAATAATATTACCCACCTCACAGGGCAGCAGTGAGGAGTAAATGAGTTATACATACAGTAGGCATGTAATAAACACCAAATAATGTTAGCAATAACTATTATTGTTAATGTCTCTGAAATATGATCTTAATTTATTATTTACATGCTCGTTATTGGCATCCCACATATGAATGAAGGCAAGGAGACTTTTTTCCCTTCTTTCTCTGCTTTGAGAGGAAGTAGTTAAGCTCCCAGACTCTGGTATTGTGACTTCGTGGGATCAAATCCCAGCCATACCATGCTCTGTGCCTTAGTTTCCCTAACTGTAAAATGAAGACAATAATGGGGCCTGCCTCATGGAGTTTTGGGTTTTGAGAGTTTTCATTCAGGGGCGCCTGGGTGGCTCGGTCAGTTAAGCGTCTGACTCTTGATTTCGGCTCAGGTCATGATCTTAGGGTCATGAGATCGAGCCCAAGTCAGGCTCCACATTCTGCTTGAGATTTTCTCTCTCCCCCTGGCTCCCCCACCAACTCTCTCTCTTCAAAAAAAGAGAGAAAGTTTTCATTTATTTCTTTATTCAACAAACATTAACTGAGTGTCCCTCCACTCCCCGCCGTGATAGATGCTGGATGATAAAAGGACAAGTATGTTTTCACTCTCTCACCTTGAAGAATTACTCTCCCAGTGAGACATGTTTGGAATGTGACGCATCAGAGCACATTATGAAAATCACAGAGGTAATGGGATGATCAGAGTCCTCTGGGGACATGGATGGTTAATGACTAAGTCTGCCTGGGAGGGTTGAGAAGTTATTTTATTCCCCCAGCTCTATTGAGATGTAAATGGCATATCACATTTCATAGGGTTTTAAAATTTAATTTTAAAGATTTCATTTATTTGAGGGAGAGAGAGAGTGTGTGTGTCCACGCGCACACACACGCACAGGTGGGGGGAGGGGCAGAGGGAGAAGCAGGCTCCCCGCTGAGCAGGGAGCCTGACACAGGACTCCATCCCAGGACCCCAAGATCATGACCTGAGCTGAAGTCAGACACTTAACCGACTGAGCCACCCAGGTACCCCTCATTTAATTTTAAAGTTTATTTATTTATTTTTAAGTAAGCTCTGTACCCAATGTGGAGTTCAAACTCACGACCCCGAGACCAAGAGTCGCATGCTCTTCCGACTGAGCCAGCCAGGCGCCCCCCATACTTTTTTGTTTGCTTGCTTGTTTTGTTTTTTAAAGATACAAATGAGTTAATATAGGGCAGTGGTCCTGACCCATGGCAGGTGTCGGGGTGCATGCATGAGCCTACCCACTTTCTCCCTCAGCGGCGTAACACTCACCGTCCACCTGGACCTCGGTCTTGGCCCTCGTGGTCCAGTCAGGATTGATGGTGACAGCTACCTGGTAGGTGCCGCTGTCTGTGGGCTGGATGCGGTACAGCAGTGTGGACCCATTGGGGAAGCCAACGATGTCACGTTGCCCCATGGTGCTGCCGTCCCTCTGGGGCCGCTGGAGGTCAGGGAAGGAGGTGAATAACATCGTGCCGCCATTGGCCTCCTCCCCCGGGTACCAGCTGAGGTCCTGAAAGTTGCCTGGGATGCCCTGGACGGACGGGAGAAGGTTCTGGTCCTTTTGAGGATGCTCTGGGACCTTCTGGATGTGGAGGGCAGCCCGGAGCTTTGGGGGATCCAGAGAACCAGAATTGAGGCTGTGGGGAGTTACAGGGGTGGCCTGAGATCAGAAGTGTTGGGCAGGGACCAAAGCATTTTCTTCCCTTTATGTCCTCATCTGGGGACAAGGACTCTGAGCGCTGTTCATTGGCAACAGGGCTGGGATGGATGAGTGATGTCTGCCCTGGGTTCAGCAGTGGGAACCCAGATAGGAAAGCCACAGATTTCTCATCCCATTAGTCCAGCAGATTTCTCTGCCCTGAGATGATGTGTGGTCTGCCTCTAAACAGTTGGACTCTCTGAATTTATTCGTTCATCCATCTAACCAATACTTACAGATATATATATTATTTGTGCTACAGTACCAATTATATATGGTATATCTAAAATTCCATAGGTAAAACTGGCTATGGGGCTGTGATTCTACAGCTCAAATCAGCCCCCCCATCTTACTCTAATAATTTCATCTTCCCTGGCAATCTTTCCTTTCTTCCGAGAGGAGACCTCAACCCCTGGGCTGAGTCCCACCTTCCCCCCTCAGCCCTGGCGTGCTCCCCCTTACCTGAGAGCAGGAGGCCCTTTGAGAAGTGGCACTGGGCCTTCTCGGGACTCTCCATCTTGGTGTCCCGTGGAGATGCCAAGGGGCCACTGCGGACACCAGTGGGGCTGGAGGGCCGGGCCCTGGCTGTCGGAAGTAGGCCAGCTCAGTGGGGGTCCTGGGGGTGCCTTCTAGACGTGGCTGAGGCTGGCTGATCCCCAGCACCCCCTTTCCACAGCCTTCAGAGGCTTCACCTGTGCTCTCTGGGATGGGCGCAGACACTGGTTGAACCAGTTTTCCAGGGTGACTGGGGACCTTCTGGGGCTCCCCCCCGCCCCCCGACTCCTCCCTAATCCCCTTCAACTTCTTCTTCCCACCCAGTGTGACTGTCAGGAACAATAGCAGTAATGACAACAGGAGGGAGTCATGGCAGTCTCTGCTTGAGCCATCCCCCTGGGCCAGGCAGGTCCCCGCAGGGAGGCCCAACACAACTGCTTCATCCAACATCCACCCACACATAACTGCGTCCATTTCACAGATGAGGAAACAGAGGCTCGAGGAAGGAGGCAAGTCTACCAGTAGGTGGAGATGGGACTTGACCTGTGGCTGGCTCACTCTAAAGCTTTTAGCACAGTTTTTCAAAAGCATCCACCATTCATTCATTCATTCATTCACTCCAACGACACTCCCTATGCTCAGCGCTGTGCTGGACGATGCTGCAGACACAGTGGTGATTGACATAGTTCTTCCTTTGTCCTCAGTCCACAGCGGGTCTCACAGTTCTGTGTCTGTGTTGGGGGGAGCAGACTGATTCCCCAGGGCAATGATCCACAGTGATCAGCAGTGGGATGGAGGAGCCCAGGGGACCGGGAGAGCCCAAAGGGGTGCCTCACTCAGCCTGAGGGGCAGGGAAGGCTTCCTGGAGGAGGAGACATCTGAACAGAGACCTGGAGTAGGAGTAGCAATGAGAGAGATGGTGGGGTGTGGGGGCGGGGGATGAGGTTTGCCAAGCATCGTAAATAGCACATGCAAGGCTTGGAGGCTAAAAATCCTGGCCGAGGGGGGACTGGGTAGGAGGGGGTGAGGCTGGGGAAGAAGGAGGGATTAATTGGAATTTTGAGCTCTGTTGGGACAGGGTCTAGGTGATGGGGGGTCCAGGGTTGTGCTAATACTATAGACAGTAGTCACCTAAGGTGACTGAAATAGACCCTTAAATTAATTAAAATTCAGTGCCTTCAAAATTAGTTTCTCGACCTGGTCGCTTTCAAGTGATCAATTATCCCATGTGGCTATCACATTTGATAGTGCAGCTACAGAACATTTCCTTCACCATCACGGAAATCTCTGTTGGACAGCGCTTGTCTACGGATCTGAAGGGGGCAGCACTGTGGGAGGTTTCCGGGTCTGTGGGAAGAACGCTAGGTTGGGGTGCCATAAGTCAGTAGCAGTTTGCCTGGGTATGTCACCAGATTGCCAGAGGTGATGGCATTTACCAGGGTCCCCAGGTTGGAGTGAGATAGAAGTCTTGACTTTGATCTGCCTTGGGGTGGGGTGACGTGGCCCAGGTGGGCGGAACAATTGCAGAGCCCGGCCCAGCCGTCCGGTGAGCTGGTGAGCCTGACTCTTAGCCTGCCTGTGCTACCACTTGGCTGTGGGATCTTGGTAGCAAATGACTTCATCTCTCCTCTGGAGAATGGGGACAAGCATCCCCACCTCACGGGGCTGCTGGGAGGGGTAAGGAGATGCTCATGCCCCAACAGCTGTCTCCTGGTGGTAGCGCTGACTTTGTCTTTGGACCTGAGGTACCTCCTGAATTCTCCCTGCCCCTCTGGCACCCTGCTCAAGGGAAGTGCATTTTCTCCGGAGGGGTTACTGATCCCCCACCTCCTGAAAAGTCCCTAATGTCTGTAAGGTTTTGTACGATGTTTACTGTAGTGTTCACAGGGATTTACCTTCAGTCCTTCTGGCTGTAGTTTGGAAATTTCCTCTATCTGCTTGAGAGAGAGAGAGAGAGATTGTTGCAAACCCAGCCATTGTTTCCAAGTGGAGCCACCTAGGGGAGAGAGTTCCAAGTTTGGGCAGCAACAAAATTGCCCAAACCAGCCTCATTCTGGTAGGAATTTGGTTGTGCAGCAGGAGTGGAGTTTAGGGGGTCAGAGGGATTCTGATGCATTATCACCACTAACCCCCTGAAGCAAAGGCTCTGTAAGCAGTGCTAGGCAGCGTATAAAGCAAACCCAGTTATTCTGAATTTTCCGGGTGCTGAAGCTTCTCTCTCTTTCTGTCTGTCTCTGTCTCAAATAATGACTTTGATTCATTAGGAATCATCATTCATCAGGAAATTTAGACAGGATGATCTCAAAAAGAAGAGAGTAAAATTCACCCACCTTCCAACTACCCAGAGAGAGGCACTGCTAATAAATACCAGAGGTCCAGACTTCTGTCATCCGTTGGGCAGCCTTCCTCTGGGTTTTTCTCCAGCCCCAGAGGACAGGTCCTGATTGGTCCAAGCCTCCCTGGCAGTCTCCTTCTTTTGGCTAGGGATTGGTTGAGCAGTGGGCGATGCTGGCCAATGACAGCCGAGAGAAGGCTGCTGGGAAAGTTCACCCAGCACAAGGTGGTCTGTTTTTCCAGGTCTGGGTCTGGTTGCAATGGTCGGAATGCAGCAGCCATCGTGGCGCCAGCCTGAGGATGATGCCACTATATGGTGGAAAACGGAACAAACAGCAGAGTAGCAGGGCTGAACTCCACACACGGTGCCTGGAATAGAAACAGACAGTTTGGTTTCTTGTTTTTAATTCCAGCCTGGGGAGTGTCGGAGAGAGAGGGTGCTCTCTGCTCTTGGTGCCTGAAGCATCTTCACCATCACATTTTTATATACTGATGGAGATTCTCTCATTGGCTGGACTCGACCTAGGCTCCCTGTGCACTCTTCCTACGAAGCCTGAGTTTTGGACTTCTGTGTTCATGTCTGTTTTGCCCAGTTTTGGCAAGTATCCTCCTAAGTCAGTTTAACTGGAAAGTTAACCCACCTTTCATAGCTGCTTGCTCTCCACGTCTGATCAGGTTCCTCATCCTCCACCCCCCACCCTCCACCCCCCACTCTCTGGGTGATGTCTGATCACCCTGGCCTGCCTTCAGCAAGAATCTTGTCAGGTCAGGTTAGCCAGGATCCCCCTTACCCCTGATGTTACCTCTTAGTAAAGTCCCTCCTGCTGCCCCCCCACCCCGCTCCTTGGTTATAAAGTCCCACTTGTCCCTGCTGTGTTCAGAGCTGAGTCTAATCCCCTGCCAGTCCCCACAAGATCCCATTGCTGTAGTTCTATTGAACGGCCCCTCCCCTTGAAGAAAGTCTGCCTTATTGTGCTTTAACGGGGGTCATTAAATAACTGTTTTCTTTAAAAGTTAGGATAGGGGACGCCTCGGTGGCTCAGTTGGTTAAGCGGCTGCCTTCAGCTCAGGTCATGATCCCAGGGTCCTGGGATCAAGCCCCGCCTTGGGTTCCCTGCTCGGCGGGAAGCCTGCTTCTCCCTCTGTCTGCTGCTCCCCCTGCTTGTGTGCTCTCTTTAACAAATAAATAAAATCTTTTAAAAAAGTTAAGATATTATTTTTTTCTTTAAAATTCACCCATCCTTCACTTCATGAATTTAATTGGTTCCTAAAAATTCTGCCCCTAAGAGCTGGGAAATGGAAACATTTTTTTTTCTATAAAAATTTTAAAGTTTTTTTTTAATTGTGGTAAAACTAACACATAAAATTGATCACTTTAACCACATTTTATATTATATTCATTATATTTTTTAGTTTTAGAGGGAGGGAGAGAGAGGGGAAGGGCAGAGGGACAGGGAGAGAATCTCAAGCAGACTCCCCACTGAGCATGGAGCCCCACATGGAGCTCTATCTCACGACCCTGAGATCATGACCTGAGCCAAAACCAAGAGTTAGATGCTTAACCGACTGAGCCACCTAGGCGCCCCTCATTTTAACCATTTTAAAGTGTGCAGTTCAGTGGCATTTAGTACATTCATAGTATTGTGCAACCATCACCCCTATTTCCATTTTTTTTTTATCATGCCAAAGGGTAACCTTGAACCCATTAAGTGGTCACTCCCTGTCACCTCCTTCCCCCAGGCCCTGGCAACCACTGATCTCTCTTCTGTCTCCACGGGTTTGCCTGCTCTGAACAGTTCCTATAGATGGAATCCTACACTCTGCAGCCTTTCGTGTCTGGCTTCTTTCACTCTTTCCGGGTTCATTCCTCTTGTAGTGTGTGTGCATGCTTCCCTCCTTTTCTCGTGGATAACATTCCACTGTGTGCATAGATCACATTTGGTTTCCCATCCATCTGTTGACGGGCATTTGGGGTGTCTCCACCTGTTGGCCATTGGGAACAGTGCTGCTGTGAACATTCGTGTGCAGGTATTTGAGGACCTAGCTTCAATTTTTCTGGGTACCTGCCTAGAAGTGAAACTGCGGGGTCACCCCCTTTTCACTCGGATTTCAATAGCCCAGGATCCTCAGCCCGAGCCGTCTGCCACCCAGAGGTTTCCAGAACCTTGAAGCTGCTCGAGGTGGGGTAGTATCGGCTTGGAACGCCTCTTCTTCCAAGTCGGAGCAGTGCCCGGGGAGGGTTTGGGCTGTTTTAGTCTTTCCATCAGACCCCCTCCCCTTCCTTGTCCAGGATTGATGATCGTGGTTCTCTCAATCGTGTGTGAAGTTTATACAACTCCTACACCAAAATTCAGGGTCCATTCTCGACTCTGGCTCTTGTGGAATCCACAGATGCTTCCCTCACTGAAACGAGCGGTCGCATCCCATCACTGCCGGGAACAGAGACTTCTATGGGGGCAAGTTGTCAGGATCTATTGCAACAACAGGGGCACATACTCTTTGACTAGCAATTTCACCTCCGGGAGTGTGTCCTACACTCATGGGTCAGCATGACCTGGGGCGAGGGTGACAGTGCACAAGGCCACTCACTACATCACTGTAATGGTAAAGGGGCAGAAATACTACAAACACCTGTCCAATGAGGGGTTGGTTGAAAAAGTCCTGGATGTCCCCCTGTGGAGTACTATGTGGCTTAAAATTTTTTTCTTTAAATATTTTATTTATTTGACAGAGAGCGAGCAAGTGCGCACACACAAGCAGGGGGAATAGGAGAGGGAGAAGCAGGCTCCCTGTTTAGCAGGGAGCCCGATGCGGGGCTCGATCCCAGGACCCTGGGATCAGGACCTGAGCCGAAGGCAGACACCCAACGACTGAGCCACCCACGCGCTCCCCAAATAGTACATTTTAGAGGGGGAATTGTGTCACCACAAGCTTAGTGGCTTCAGACACAAAATTCTTCTCTTACAGCTCCGGAGGTCAGAAGTCCAGAGTCTTACCGGGCTAAAATCAAGGTGTCAGCAGGGCTGGTTCCTGTAGAGGCTCCGGGTGGGGCGAGAATCTGTTCCCTGCCTTTCCAGCTTCTAGAGGTGCTGCCAGCATTCCTTAGCATACAGCCCATCACGTGCCTTTCCTCCTCCCGCTCCCCCCTCCCGCCTCTGAAGTCCTTGCCTCCCTCTTCCCTTTAAAGAACCCTGTGATTACACTGGGCCCACTCGGGTCACCCAGAATAAGCGCCCCATCTCAAGGTCCTCAACTTAGTCATACCCGCAAAGTCCTTTCGCTGTAGAAGTGAACATATCTTATCTACCACTCCTACCAGGATAACCATGGCATTGCTTGTCAGGTGAGGTTATTAATGCACAGAGAACAAATATGTACTTTTTCCATACTAAGTAACGTCTCAGACACACCGTTCTGCACCTTACTTTTATTACTAGGGTTTCTGGAAATTCTGAGAGAGGGTCTTCAGTCTTTTTACAAAAAGCCACATACTGGGGCGCCTGGGTGCCTCAGTCGGTTAAGTGTCTGCCTTCAGCTCAGGTCATGATCCCAGGGTCCTGGGTTCCCCTGCTGCTCCCCCTACTTGCGTGCTGTCAAATAAATAAATAAAATCTTAAAAAAAAATAAGATGGACTATTTGGCGGTTTTTGGTATGTTACATTAATTTTTAAAAATTGTGGGAAAAGAGAGATGACAAAAATTGGCCATTTCTGGCATTTTTAAGCGTACAGTTTTGTGGCCTCAATCACGTTCACAAGCTTGTGCAAAACTGGGTATCCGTAAGCAAAAGAATGAAGCTGGACCCTCACCTTATTCTCTATGCGCTAATTAACTCAAAGTGGGCCCCTGATGCTTTTTATAACTTTGGATTTGGGGATGTTTATATAGGACCTAGATAAAAATATTAGAGAGAAATAAGATGAGCTCTCCCCAGGGCATCTGAGAAACCTGGGGGCTCGCGTCCCTGGGGTCTTCTTTTGCCTTTTTCGAAGTGGGCTCCTTGCCCAGCGTGGGGCTTGAACTCATGACCCTGAGATCAAGACCTGAGCTGAGATCGACTCATTTGCTTAACTGGCTGAGCCACCCAGGCGCCCCCCCCGCCTTGCTTCACGTTCTTGCTCCCACACCCTCTGGTTCTGTCCCACATACTGGAAGTCCACACAAAACTCAGCCCCTCCCCAATTCCTACAAAAGTCCTCCCTTGCACACAGCCACTCAAGGCGTAATAAATTAACTTTATTGATAAAAGACTTGTGGATGGGGATGGATAAGGGTTTATGTAGCAGCAAGATCTCCCTGACACTGCGCAGCCTGACAGGCCTTGTCACACTCTTGCCCCTCACCCCCCCCCACTCTCTGTTCCCACTCTCCCTTCTGGCCAGAACAGACCCCAAGGACTTGTTTTCTCTTGCACAGCAGCTCATGCCTCATGCTCTAGTTTAGCATCCTGGCCCACAGTCTTACTTCCTGCCAAGTACTTCCCCAACAGACGGGTCTTGCTGTAAGAGGAATTCTCGTGCCTGATCCCGAGATCAGAGTCTGTTATAAAGGAAACGGGTCCGTTGCATCTGAACAGCTCTGCCTCCGGGACCTTAGGCTGTATCCTCACTGGTCTGAGGGCCATCCGTGTGTCTTGCACAGCTGTGGCTTCTGCTCCCCCAGGACCTCTTCCTCCTTGTTTTTGACACTTTGCTTTCCTTGGTGGGTGACTGGCTCCCATTCTCCGGGGTCCCACCAAGCCCAGCACGTTGGCTACAGATGCTCTCCCAGGACCTGAGTCTTGGCAGAAGGCGCCAGGACCTCACATCCTTCAAGTTCACGTCCACCATTTTTCCTGCTCCTCGAACAGCCCTGAGCAGCTGAGCTCCAGCCTCGGGTTCTCTTCTGGACAAGGGCCGGTGGCTCTTTCTTGTAACCACAGGGATGCCACGGATACATAGATTTAGAAGCTCAAGGCCAGAAAATCAAATTCTTACAAAAATTCTCTGGCAGTTGGAATAGTCTGTGGGGCTCCACCTGGAAACCAAGGCTCAGATGAGCGTCTCTGGTTAGCGAGACTCTGTGTGCTGTCACACATCATCGCTGGGAGAAATCGACACTGTGTGACTGGTAGCTGGTGGCGGGACTCTCCCGGATGGTGCCCCATGTGGCTTTCCACAGGTTAAGGCTTTTCACCTTAACCTCATCTGTTCATTGTAATAAACCGTAACCATGAGCACAATGGCTTTCCCGAGTGCTGCGATTCCTTCCAGCAAATGACTGCACCTGAGAGGGGTCATGGG